TAGTCTCATGTGCTCACAATCTCACATTTTTGCCAAAATTAGGAGAAGCATTATAATTATAAGCAACAACATGATAATGCAGCAGCCAGCTCACTTATGATATTTATCAATATATTTTACGTAACTAGTAATAGGCCCTAAGGACAGAAATACCCAATTAGACTATTAGTTAATTGACTGCGACTTTCTACTAAATAGTAGTAACATATGCCCCACAGATGAGGAGTCTATAGTTCCATCAGATTTATATTCACAATAACGCAGCAGATAGAAGTTTTCTCGAACTAGAATATCATGGAAGAAGCCACACCATAGCAAGATTTGCCAATTTGATGCGTTAAACTATATATCAGTAATCCTAGCATCCTATGCCTTATTATAGGCTGTATCCCAGCATGACATGTTCAGCTATAAGCTTATGATTATGCCGACTGCTGAGAGATTTAAGTCATCTTCTTACCTTCTGGAGATATGAAAGTGCCAATTGTAAAAGTTATCACAATTTGCCACCCCACACCTTATGCAGAGCAAAATGATGGTAGCGAGTAGATAATAATATGGGGGCCGATGAGAAAGCAGAATGAGGAAACCAAGGCAAAGAGAAGATAAGCATAAAACGAATTAAGGAATATTTGGTAGCAACAGTTAGAGAATGGTGGCGCCATAGTAGTGCATGCGCCATTGAGCGCAATGATACGCGTGGCCTTCGTTAATGCCAAATGCTCCCACACCTTGATGCAGGACGCATTCCAGAGCCCAAAGCGCCCAGCGCCCGAGGCGCACGCCTCAGTGCGGCTCAGATTAAACCTGCTTTTTAGTTGAGGTTTTTTGACTTAACTAGTAATAAGTCCTTACTAGGTCCCAAGGCATAAGAATACCCAATTAGTTAATATACTACGACTTCGTACTCAGTAGATGCATAACATGCATAGATAAGCAGTCTCAAATTCCATTAAGATTTAAAATTCACAAATAGCCCCTCAAGTAGAAGTTTCCTAAAACTAAGATATCACTTTAATCTAGCATCATTAAACCTATTTACGGACACCGCGTATAAAACGTTGTTCTAGAAAAGCCACGATATATGATAAGGTCAGTTCCTTCTTTGAACATATGCCACCGCAAGTTTTAAAACTCACCAACTTATGATGGAGCAAGAGCCTCCAGTATAGTCAACAACCATGCAACTTAAAAACCAAAATTTTAATTAAAAAAAATCATCAGAGTCAAACAGGCATAATCAACAATAAATTGATTTGCCCAACAGTACAATAAATTGAAAATGACAACTATCATTTCTACCAAAACTCAAAGCGCCCCACACATAGCACTTACAATAACCAACATATTACTAGCAATAATACTTGTAATGTAGCCTACTACAACAAGAAAACAACAAATGGTCAAGATTATTAATCAAGACATACAATGCCATCAAAATAATGCCGTAAAAAACCTTCATAGTCTTACCACTACAAATCCGGAGAGCCAAGATCAGAAGCAAGCTGTTCTTACATGTATTGATTACCGATCCTTGCAATCACTTTGTCAGATCATTTGAATGTCTCGCATCTGACTTCTTTCCCCCAAACACCTCAGTATCAACCTCCACCCTCATATACCCATCAAACTCAACAGCGCACCTTATTATTCCAGCCCGTCCATGGTCTCCTTATACAAAACTCACTGTTCTCATCCCACAACTCCTTATAATCATCAAGAAATGCGTAGCTGTAACTTATCTTTCAAAGGATTCGCAAAAAACGAAAGTATCAGGTTCATTGCCGTTGCCCCAATATAAAGATTCCTCCCATCATCAATTCTTCTGCCTAAGCGGATGAAAGCATAATGCATCGGGGCAATATCTGCAGCAAGATTAGCGCCACATCTCCGTGTTCTTTGCCTTCTCCCCTCTCACAATGTGGACCGCAATCAAAATCCCAAGTTCATCTTTGAAGCAATAGCAGGACACTATCTCCATCAACTCTCGACTTCCATATCAAATGCCATGGCCGTTGAAATCACAGACTCAGTCTCTCCGTTCGCAAACCTCCCGGTACCAGATAATTATCTGGCTCAACCTCCCCAAATTTCCTCAGTAATCAAAGCTATCCCTCCACTACTTCATCTTCATAGGAGTAACCCTAAAATCCTCCACGCACATACATGCTTCAATTATCCTTCTTCTGCCCATTTCCCCCAACAGCCAGAACTCCCTGTTCGATCGAAGAACCGAAGCCGAGGCCCTCAACATGCTCAAAATCAAAGTAAAACTAAAAATCCTTCCCTTTCTTCATCCTGTTTTGAGCTAGTATACATCTCCAGAAAGCGCACATTGTGAATCCATC